AATGGGACTCAATTTGAAGAAAGTAAGATTTTCAGTAGAACCTCCCCTTAAGTTATGAAAGCAGTGTTTGTTAATCACTACAACGGCTTTCTGCTTGTAAATTAAGCAAATATTTTGAGCAAACATGATACTGAGAATTATATTCACAAATTTGAACAGTTTTTCCGGAACATTGACAGACTTGAAACGGTGAGTTCAGCACTACAAAAATTAATTCAGAGAAAAGCTACGAATTCAGTTTGCTTAAGGGGGGACCCTGGTGAAACTAAGTAGGCTTTAAAATAATCCCAGAAAGTTGAAACTTTGCTTGATTATTAGGTTCATTATGGTGAGTTCATAAAACAAAATTCAATCCAAAATGTTGAACGGTCTCTGAGAAAAGTGGCTTTTTAGTGTTTTTTAGAGCGTTGGGGAAAAATCTTCCTGCGTCTTTCATTGGAACGGAAAGTCTTGAAAACTTTTTTGGGTTATCCTTAAGATGTATAGAAGAGATTTAAGTGACGGAATTTTTAATTTCAACTTCTGTCCTGAGATGTCAATTTTCAAATTTTAACACTTAAAAAAAGTGAATTTTTTGCCTTTTTTTAAGCTTTTAGGTGTGTGTTAAAAAAAGTAGGGCTGATATCAAGATTCCGTCACTAAAATTTGTCGACAAGTCATCAATGAATAGAGTCCATGCAAGACGACTCATGTAGCTGTCAACCAGGAACGCAGGAAGTCTTTCTATGACAAAATTTTTTGTCGACTGAGCAAAGCTGTGAAGTTGAGCATATAAGCCAACGACAACTGATCTCAATGTTATTTCTTTCCAAATGATGAAGGAACTACCAACATAGTTTAAAGGTGTTCAACCTGTTGAATCTGAAACCTTCTATGCACATTTTTATCTATGAACTTTAAAAATACTATTTTTGGGAATTTTGCTCATTTTTTCACCAGGGTCCCCCCTTAAATGTCTTAGGACCGATAATGACTGGGTATGGGCCGCTCTCGCCTATTGATTAAGTCAACGGCTTGAGGGATCTCCCTTGCCTTACGAGAATTTGAGTTCTATCAAATAAACCAAAACAACGCTCAAGAACTGTGATGAAAGCACTCGAAGAAAACAGTGTCAACACAGTTTTAAATGTCTTACGGTGAAACCAACATATTATGGTGGAGATTTTCTCCATAATACCAACGAAATTCATCAAAATATCTATAAGGTACAGTGAATTCTCAATGGTATGTTACTAAGTCTGCTGCACCACCATAATATGGAACATTGTCGCCATAATATGGAGAATCTTCACTGTGGAACATTTAGAGTGAATGGGTCATAAATAGTGCATTTAGTGTCGAAACGTGCGCTGCGCGTGCGTAAATCTAGGCCTTCTCATTTCAGGTGTGACCTCACGTTGAAATGGATGAAACAAAATGGCACTTTCGCTTGAATGTGAAATAGCTAATTTGCGGCTGATCAAGGTTAAGAAAGGAAACTACTTTCGCCTTACGAATCACAAAGACAGATTTTAATAGTAGACCCACACATTTTAAACAACGAAACTACGAAAACGATAGATGACCAATCATAATGCAGGCCTCCAAAGTCGCAAAAGTACTGAAATCCGGACCTCAGGCAATTCAAACGCCTGAAAATTGCAGTGGGCACATATCCACTTTGTTGAACTGAAGGCGATAAAATGTTGACCCATAAACTGAGACCCATAGAAAAGCCCACAGGCTCTTTCATGGAGAGAAACAAGTCCAAGTAAGTTACATAAAGAAGACTTAAGATGAAGCAAAAACGATACCAACCACAGCAAAAAGCCTTAAATAATAAAACCAAATAAATAATTTCGTTTTTTCCGATGCTCACGATCATTGTAAATGTAAATGTTACATCAGCAGAGAAACAGACCTATACTTTACGAGTAACATGCACTGTCTCAGCAAGCTGATGACACATCAATATCGTTAATGCTCAGAGAAAAAAGAAGGCAGTCAAATCTTCACATTTCGGGTCGTTCAATGACAGTTTGAAACGATTGCTCACGACAGTACTCAAGACGGAACAAAGTGTCACTGCACGTTAGAAGTGATCATGAAACGATCATGAGTACCCACCAAGAACATACGAGGATTACCGCTAGAGTGAACAGAGTGCATTGGTCAACTTCCCATTACACTCCAGGCACCGACCAATGCAGGACCGTGGGAATTCCGATTGAAATGGGACAATCGCGATCCCAAAATCAATTCAGAAGAACTTATCAAATTATACTGCAAACGTAAGCTGTAAGAACAACATCATAAAAACAAATCATGGGAAAGTACTTCACTCACTCAGCTTGTCTCTTGGGTGCGCCAAAAAAGGCGTTTTCTTGGAGTTCCATTTAGCGTGGACTTCACTCAAACTGTGCTCTCGAATGGCTTCTCCCCGGTGTGGGTGCGAAGGTGCCTTCTGAGATTACCACTTTCAGTGAACTTCTTGTTGCAAACTGTGCACTCGAAAGGCTTCACCCTGGTGTGGGTCCGAAGGTGTGTTCTGAGATCTCCACTTCGAATGAACTTCTTCTCGCAAACTGTGCACTCGAAAGGTTTCTCCCCGGTGTGGGTCCGAAGGTGCGTTTCTAGTTGACTTCTGAAGGCGAACTGCTTCTCGCACACTGGACACTCCAGACGCTTCCCTCCATTGCAGGCACCGCGAGGAGCACGCACGGACGCTGACGATGCAGCCTTGCGATGACGGGGTTCACGCTCGCGGGACATTCTGAAACGCAGTAAATCCCACATCGAACAACCACTGACAAGTGTGTCACCAGGTACTCTACAACTCCAAAAGCGTGTATTGTATGCTCTATCTGGAGCATGCCTGCAAGCATGCCCTAGCTAGCGCATGCCAAGCATGCCCTAACTAGTGCATACATGCCATGTACACGCTACTTGACGCATACCCCTAGTGCGTAAGGGATAGGGAGTTGCCCGCATCAGGGGCCGTGCGAACAAGGTTCACAAAAAACTCGATAAAAAGTCTCCAGAAAATGAAACAAAACGACGCGTCTTAACAGAGTAATCCTAACTGCTGGAGTGGATCCAAAACAACTCTGTCAGGGCAGTGCCATCACTGCAGGGACATTCCATGTGAAGTCAACCAGGCCTTAGTCACCATGGGCTCCGATCCGGCTCTCGTTTTCAGGGTTTGTTACCCCTATGGTCCCATGAAATAATCGGTACTTGGTTTGGGGTCCGGCCCCCCAGGGGCTGGGCTATGGCCAATTTACTTTTTTGCTAAATATTGAAACAACGCAACTTTGGAGGGCAATATCTCAGCAACCATTGGTCGTAGGTCGAATCCGAGACCAGATCTGGAAAGAGGACGAAAAACTGAATCTTTTTTGTCTTTGAAGTTTTTATGTCCAAAAACTTTATGTAACTTCAAAACTTTAGTTAAGTTTAAAAATTAGCGCCATTTCCTAGATCCTCAACCGATTTTGACCAATCTGGGCTTAAAAGATAGCTTAAACCCTTCCCTAAACGAAAATGTTAACCAAAAAATGTGTTCGGCTTCGTTCCCGAGAACGAGCCATTTTCGTGAACCCTTGCAACCACATTTTTCACCCAAATTGTAGTGACGGCCGCACTCGTTACCACACTGGACGCTCTCTTAGGTGTTTTCGGCTCAAATCAAGCTTCCGGGTCGCTTTTCTAAGGTCAGGGGACCCAAGTGCCTGTCAGGTTAGCCATCAGCTTGATTTGAGCCGAAAACACCTAAGAGAGCGTCCAGTGTGGTATCGAGTGCGGCCGTCACTACAATTTGGTGAAATATGTGGTTGCAGGGGTTCACGAAAATAGCTCGTTCTCGGGAACGAAGCCGAACACATTTTTTGGTTAACATTTTCGTTTAGGGAAGGGTTTAAGCTATCTTTTAAGCCTAGATTGGTCAAAATCGGTTGAGGATCTAGGAAATGGCGCTAATTTTAAAACTTAACTTAATTTTTGAAGTTACATAAAGTTTTTGGACATAAAAACGTCAAAGACAAAAAAGATTCAGTTTTTCATCCTCTTTCCAAATCTGGTCTCGGATTCGACCTACGACCAATGGTTGGTGAGATATTGCCCTTCAAAGTTGCGTTGTTTCAATATTTAGCAAAAAAGTAAATTGGCCATAGCCCAGCCCCTGGGGGCCGGACCCCAAACCAAGTACCGATTATTTCATGGGACCATAGGGGTAACAAGCCCTGAAAACGAGAGCCGGATCGGAGCCCATGGTGGCTAAGGCCTGGTTAACTTCACATGGAATGTCCCTGCACTCCACTCTGTGTACGAGGCGACTGCTTCGAAACCGTGAAGAAAATGGAGACGGTAGCCTCGTATGCCTGGGCAATGCCTGGGCTTTCCGAAAGTCGGGTCGCCACTGATTTCATAAGTGTAACAATGAACTTAATTAAAAAGCAATTCAGTTTTTATTACATTAGTAGCGCCATGGAAAAATTATTGCATTGTAAGTGCATTAATTATTGTATGGCATTAGCGCTGGCATCATTTTATCACACCAAAACTGTGATAATCTGGGCCCGACCGGCCAAAACCGAAGGGACTAGTTGCACTTTTAATGCGACAATTTTTTTTTATTGCTACCACAGATGCGATAATTGGAAGGAATCACATTTCCCTTCTTATCGCAGCAAATTGTATGCAACTTATCACATAAGACATTATAGTGCCGTCGCCAATTCAGAAAACGAGCAGACTTGCCTAAGAGGCCACCGCTCTCATCTCAGGCGCACACAAGATTACGGCATTACGGTAAATTGACGAGGGATTGCGCGTAGTAATTTAGACCACTGGTTCAAAAACGTGTACGAATGGCTAAAAAACTTTAAAAAATAACTTAAAAACGATGAAAAATGATAGAATTTTGTCAAGGATTACGTGACTAGGACGTAGATTACCAGCCAATATGTACACAGGAGTACAGGGGTGGTGGCCCCCTGGAGACTTGCGATTAATTTGCTTACGTCGAGGGGCGGAGGTTGGTGCGGCGAAATAGTAGTAACCTGTAGAAGACTTGGAACACGTCGTTGTGTGGAGACGCTTGTCGACAAACGTGCCTTTCCAGAAGATACGCCGTTCCGACGCCTTGGTTAGGACTTCCTCCTCCCTCCTGTCAGGGCGACTGCGACTGCAAAGATGGTGCAGGTCTTGGATGAAAAACAACTACGTTTGAATAGGGTTTATCCGTGAGTCCTGGACCGGAAGTAAGAACAAAGGCGAGCCCTAAAACGCACTAGTAAAACTAAAGCGTAGTATTACCCTCCGTTTTCAAGCGTAATCTGGTTACGCTTGAAATCAAGCGTAACAGGCTCATCTGCCAAGATTCCCCCTATCTAAATGCATGGGGGAATCACTAGTCGAGGCTTCATTTCAAGCGTAACGTCTCTAAGCGTAACTTTATGCTTGACTCAAGCACAGAAATACGATTTAGTTTTACCAAAGCGGAAGCAGGGCTCACTTTTATTCCTCTATTTCCGGTCAAGGGCACACGGAAATGACCTTCTCGGGGTGGCGCTGCGTTCTCCACCCGCACGATGCGGTACAACTTGGGCAAGCTGTGCGCCTAGAGAAATCGTGGCAGTTTAGTCAATACTGAAAGAGGTGAGTGGACGCGAGGGTGAAAAGGAAGTACAGATGGAACAAATGTGAGTACGGGCGCTCCCAACGCCCCTCACTGTTACCACTAAAGAATTAATCTCTCTTCAAGCACGATCGGTTTGCTTTAGAAGGCAAGCGTAACAGGCTCGCTCAAAGTTCCATTGAATGCATGCTTCACTTCAAGCTTATCGTGTTCAAGCGTAACTTTGAATAGTTACACTAGTTTTACCTGTGTTCCCTGCGGAGGCGCGTTATCCTTGGCTTTAGGATCCTCTTCCTTTCGTTTCGGATTAGACTTCAACCAGAGCGTCACCTGAAAAGACAAAGAGGTTTCTCTCAGAAACAGTGCTCTGAAGCCGCCAGCTGGCAATTTTTGAAGACGCGTTTCCGTCATTGTTGGGAAGTAGATAAAGATTGTTTTCTTAATTGATACTGGTCTATAACCCAATTAACCACAGTTGTGGGAACTGGCTCCATTGCCTGCAATTCATTGTCATTTTCACTCAGCTTTCTACCATAAGTGTTCGGATTAAATGAAACTTTCCTGCATTGCGTTCATTACCTGACTCGGAAGAGCAAGGGGGACTCTGCCCTGGCGTAACGTTGCGCACACGCTTGTCGCCAGAGCAGTCAAGCTGTCGCCGAGCGAGGAACAAGAATAAAAAAATCGCCCGTAACTCAATCTCTTCAAACTGTTCGATTGTATCCATTGAATGCATGCCGAATCGCCTGATAAAGGTCTGTTAGGAAGATTTTTCAGAAGGTGAATACTTCGCCCTCAAACTGGACTCGCTGCCTTTTCCCCGGCCTCATAACTTCCGTTTTTGTAGTTCCCCTTGTTATTCCGTCAGTGACGGACTGGACTGCTCTATTGAAAATTTTCGTGGTATGGATCTTAGATCGGAAATCAACGAACGCGATTTCAGACGGAAGCTGGTCTGTTCTGAATTTTGTTGGCTCCAGTGGGGTCAAAAATCTTTTATTGTCCGAGCGTGCGTGTTTGGATGTGTGCACCACTCGTCCTGAACAGCTCTGGCTGAGATTTCGCAGGCATGTCCTCGGCTCGCCATACATCAAAACTCAGCTATCCGTCTCGAACCCTGGTGTAATTCCAGCCGAAGAAAGTTGACAGTCTCCACCGGTCTTTGCCGCGGCTGCACGTCTTTATCTGCTGCAATCATTATCATTGTGAAAACGAGGACTGCACGCGTTGCAAGGAGACCAGCCACTGCCCCTCGCTCAACTCAAGCACGAGCGTTTTTGTCACCACGTAGAGGCGATCGTCAAGAAGTGCACCTAGATGTCGGCAATAGAATCTCCTAACCGGCGCCGTGTACCTGCTTCACCCGAGTGCAAATCTTAAGACGAAAGGAAAAAAATACTGTCAAATGAACTGTTTCGCTTGCAGTCGGTGACGCGCATGTTGGCGCATGTAGATGCTCGAGTGTCTTCTCTGAAATCACTACAAATGTAATTGGAGTTATGTTATTAGTAAGTTTCAGTGAATTCGGAGCCAGCATGATAAGAAGGAATTTTTCGTCGTAATACGAATCTTTTAAGAATTTTCATTGTAAAAAGAGAAGTACATTCGTAAAACGAAAGAAAACAACCTTCGTAATATGCTGGCGCCATTCCCTGCGTTATCTGGAAAGTTTCTTCGTAAGACATTTTGAGTGCAGCGTCCAGGGAATACAACAGACATAACAGACAGATACGGTGAGACTATGCCTTGTCCGTTAACCCTGCTTGTATGTTTCCAAATAACTGAGTTTGAGAGGGTCCAGTTCATCAATACGCCTTCAAGAAATTCAAAAGATGAATCAAGTTTAATATATTCAAAGCAATGTTCCAAAACAAAAGAATTCAAACCAAAACACAGAGCTTCAAGATATTCATCACGCCCTATTCAAATTAACTTCATTAATCCCTTCGTCCCAACAATGTTGAAGCAGAAGCTCGACCTTCACCAACGGTTTGCATTCTCGAGAAGCTTCTCTCGGGTAGCACAATCGACATCAATGTCAACCTTAAAACTAGGAACTAAGACATTTTTCCAAAAAGTGACAAGCAAATTTTGACTAACATGTTTGTAGGGAATTGTCAATAGCTTTAATCATTAAAATTGCACGGAACGATTAGGCAACCGCAATAGGACCAAAAACACTTGGACTGAAATGTAAACAGTGAGAATTTGTCAACTAGCCCAAGTTACACCCGTACCAAGAACGTAGAGGGGCCGCAGGAATTCAGATCACAATGGCTATAGCGCAGTTTCAATCTTCCTTCAAACAGAAATAAAATGGCATAAACGATGTGGCGTGTAAAATGCCATAAACAACAAGGTCGTCGAAAATTATTCACTCACGATGCGTGTGCCCGCTGTGTGTCAGAAGGTGCTTTCGAAGATGTCCACTTTGCACAAACTTCTTCTGGCAAACTGTGCACTCGTAAGGCTTCTCCCCGGTGTGGATCCGAAGGTGCTTTCTGAGTTGTCCACTTTCCATAAACTTCTTGTTGCAAACTGTGCACTCGAAAGCCTTCTCCCCGGTGTGGATGCGAAGATGCGTTCTGAGACTTCCACTTTGAGTGAACTTCTGCCTGCAAACAGTGCACTCGAAAGGCTTCTCCCCGGTGTGGATGCGAAGATGCGTTCTGAGACTTCCCCTTTCATTGAACTTCTTCTCGCAAACTACGCACTCGAAAGGCTTCTCCCCGGTGTGGGTCCGGAGGTGGTATCTCAGATCTCCACTTCGATTGAACTTCTTCTGGCAAACTGTGCACTCGAAAGGCTTCTCCCCGGTGTGGGTCCGAAGGTGTACTCTGAGATGTCCACTTACAGTGAACTTCTTCTCGCATACTGCGCACTCGAAAGGCTTCTCCCCGGTGTGGGTCCGAAGGTGCGTTTCTAGTTGACTTTTGAAGGCGAACTGCTTGTCGCACACTGGACACTCCAGACGCTTCTCTCCATTGCAGACACCGCGTGGAGCACGCACGGACGCTGACGATCCAGCCGTGCGGTTACGGGGCTCACGCTCGCGGGACATCCTGAAACACAGTAATATCATAAGTGGCATCGCTGCTGGCAACAGCCCCATCCATAGGCAGCAGTCCTAGCTGCACGTATTTTGATTAATGTCGGATTTCCTCTTCGGACCTCATTAAATTGGTACGAGGGTCGTTCTACAGAGATGGTACAGTATCGCGTTTCGAACTTTGGAAAATTTGAAGTTTCCCGGTTTTGTTCATTTTGGGCTCGTTTTCCTTGTTTTGACACGCAGAATGCGAAACAACAACATGCGCAACGGTATTCGTGAACGAAATCTTGGGACTTTACTTTGGCGTTTCGGGAGTGCTCGTATGGATCGCCGTTTTCTTACAATTGAACATCAAAGGTTTTCAGTACCTGTGGGGTAAATCCGGACAAGAAGTGTTATTTTCTTCAATTTCCCGCGTAATGTTAAGGTAGTGGGTTCAAAATTGTGGACATGCATCCCCACCGTTAAGAAAGATTAAGAATGAACGAAAAACAGCATTGAAGCTATGTTTAAGAGCTTTACTCAAGACAGTGATGTCAGGGGTTTTAATAGAAACTATTCCTTATAATATGCTTTGAGTAACAATGAAACACTTCAGTTTGCAGCAAATGTCCTTGTACGCTTTCTAAAAGCACGCCTCACATCAAAACAAGCGAAAGTAAGCTCGAGTAGTGACAAATCAGAAGGCCATCCGGAATTACCCCAGCCAGGGGTGATTCCGGACACGTGCAAGGCTTTTGTTAGGCGCCGACATCTCCCTAACCGTTGCTGAGATTTGGCGTTCATGTATATCATTTTGGAGGTAAAGGTCCATACTTTACTCTCCTGTCATAACATTTGACCCAAGAAGCACATTCAAGCTCAAAGACCAAAAAAAAAAAAAGCGTCCGGAATAACCCCTCTCTCCCTTACGCGTTGAAAAATTTATATTCGTGACAGCTTTTAAAGGACTGAGCACTGAGGTCACTGCTTCAAACGATCTAACCGTGGGTCTTGTGGATTCCAGTGCCACTTTGAAAGGAATACTGATCAAAGGCAGCCGCACTCACATCAGTCTACGAAGCGCCGGCTTCGAAACCGCGAAGAAAACGGACACGATAGCGTCGTATTAAAAAGAAATGCTTGGGTTTACCGGAAGCCGGGTCGCGTCACCAATTCAGAAAACGAGCAGACCTGCGGTGTATTTGCTTACATCGAGGGACGGAGTCTGGTGCGGCGAAATTGTACTTACGTGTATAGAAGACTCGGAGCACGTCACCGTGTAGAGACGCTTGTCGACAAACGTGCCTTTCCAGAAGATTCACCGTTCCGATGCTGAGGCTGGGATCCTCCTCCCTCCTGCCAGGGCGACTGCGACTTCAAAGATGGAGCCGGTCTGGAATGAAATTAAAAAACAACGTTTAAATAGGGTATTGTCATGGACCGGAGGTAAGGAGAACAAAGGCAAGCCCTAAAGCGGAAGCAGGGCTCACTTTCTCTTACTTCCGGTCCAGGGCACACGGAAATACCCTTTAAAAACTAAAAATGTCTTACAATGAACTTTGACCCAGGCTATTCGTATGTTACAGTGAATTCGGCGCAAGCACAATACAAAGCAATATTCCTTCGTCATACGAAGCTTGTGATCTTTTTCATTGTAAGATACAAAGAAAAGCCTTCCTAATACGAAGAAAAGCCACCTTCGTATTATGCTTGGGCTTCTTTCAATTCTTTTTTCCGTCAGGAGCATTTTGAGTCCTTAATGCTGCAAATGTCTTACAATGATTACTGGGCTATTCGCATGTCTGTGCCTGGCGCAGCAATATTAAAAGGCAGTGGGCCGTGGTGATACGAAGCTACGACTGTTTCATTGAAATACGGGCCCCAACCCCCTTCATAATACAAGTAAAGCACCTTCGTCTTATGCGCACAATTTTCGAATATAGGATTTTTTCATTGAGCCCATTAAAGAAAATTAATGCTGCTTCACTTCAAGCTTATGGTATTCAAGCGCTTTGCGCCTAGCATAGTTTTCCTGTCCAATTGAAAGGGCGGGGGTCCGCTTTGGGACCTGCTTCGTTTCAGGGTACTTGATCAGATCCCAACCGGAAGCAAGCAGACCACAAACGAATTGCCGTCTTCAGTCACAAATCTTAAACATAGCCGGCTAGCGAATCATGCTCACCCACTTTGCACCTCAATCAAAGTATGCTTCACTCTAGTTTATTTATTAGGCGATATATTACCTAGTTTTTCCTGTGTTTGGGGCGCGTCCTTGGCTTTAGGATCCGGTTCCTTTCGTGCCGGATTGAACTTCCACCAGAACGTCACCTGAAAAGAAAAAGAACTTTCTCGAACCGGAAACAATGCTCCAAAGCCGCCAATTGGAAATTTTACAAGACGCGTTTCCGTCATTCTTTGGGAGTAAATAATGATTGCTCTCTAAATGTCTCACAATGAAATTTGACCTCATGATATTCGTATGTTACAGTGAATTCGGCGCAAGTATAATACGAAGCAAATATCCTTCGTAATACGAATCTTTTTAGCTTTTTCATTGTAAAATATAAAGAAAAACCTTCCAAATACGGAGAAAAGCACCTTCGTATTATGCTTGCGCCATTTCCTTCTTACTATGGGAAATTTCTTCGTAAGACATTTTGAGTGTGGTTTCTTCAAAGATGCTGGTTTATAACCCTCAATTAACCACAGGTGTGGGAACTGTCTCCGTTGCCTGCGATAGACTATTCTAGTCATCGTCGACTGAAGAACAAGAAGAATCACAAAACCGGAAATAGAGTAGATGGGGAGTCGGTAGTGAGTCTGGTTTCAGGGAGTAATATTGATAAATACATTTCCTTCCTTTGCTAAAAAGTATTTGACACAAGCTAAATTGATTTTAAAAGAGTGTCGAATCGAAAGACTTCTTAAATGATGTACTACGACGGGTGAGTGAGGTTAAGTTGCCGGCGCCATTTCCGGTTTTGTGATTCTTCTTGTTCTTCAGTCGACGACTAGAATAGTCTATTCACAGTCATTTTCATTCAGCTTTCTACCCTAATTGTTCGGATTGAATGACACTTTCCTGCATTGCATTCATTACCTGACGCGGAAGAGCAAGGGGGACTCTGCCCTGGCGTAACGTTGCGCACACGCTTGTCACCAGAGCAGTCAAGTTGTCGTCGAGAGATGCACAAGAAATCCCAAAATCGCCGGTACCTCATCCACTTAGAACTGTTCAAGTGTATTCTTTGCATCCATGCCGAATCGTCAGACCTCAGAAAGGAATTTAGCCTTTTAGGAAGATTTTCTGGAGAAGATTAAATTCGCCCTCAAACTGGACTCGCTACCTTTTCCCCAGGCTCATAGCTTCCGTTCTCGTTGTTCTCCTTGTTATTCGACCGGACTGCCCCATTGAATATTTTCGGGGATTCTAGATCGGAAATCAACGACCGCGGTGTTAGATGGAAGCTTGTCTGTTCTGAATTTTGTTGGCTGGGCGACAGCGAAGCCCGTTACTCCAGTGGGGTTAAAAACGTTTACCATCTGTGCTCTACAAATCGAAGAGTGTACATAGTACCGTACAACGGGGTAATATGAGACAAATTTCGAGGTTTTTTGTGAATTTTCCCCTTTGAATTTCAATTTGAGGCACTGAGGTGTTCGTCACTTGTTCATTGACCCTTTGGCTACAGTCTCACCAAATTTCAGATTTTTAGGTGCAGCAGGGACCTTTCAATAACCCTCGGAATGCCGTCCCATATTTCCCTGCAATGTGGGGTAATATGAGACATAAGAAAGAAATGTTAAAGAAGTATGGATAATTACATCGTTTAGGCGGGTTTGGAGCTTTTTAAGTTCTTTTCATTCATTTTAAAGATGATTGGAAACTAAAATGGAGACGATATTAAATCTGAAGGGGAGAAAAATGGGTGTCACAAAAGAGAGCTGAAAAATGTATAAAAAGTCATGAGTTGTGCCTGTCACATGAAAATACTATATAGTATATTCGTATATACGAAGAGCATAGATGCCGGTCAGATAGTAAAACAAATTCGTGTTAAAATCATTGTTACTTGAAATCATTAACGGTGGAGTATGTTTGGCCTCATGTTTCAAGCGAAAACAGGTGTCTCTATTTTCCCTGCAAGGTAACAAAATTGTATTTCATCTGGAACAGACAGCCCGGGAGTAGACATAACGGAACCAAATTTTGTCCTGATTATGTTGACATAATTACCTACAGATTTAAAACTCGTTCGGACGAGAACCCGAGTTCAAACCGAAATTTCTGGGGAGGTTTTTACTAACTTTATAAAACTTGTTAAAATTTAGAGGTTTTTCCTTTGTTTCTTAATAACCCTGGCGAGTCTCTAAAAGCCTTCGTGCGTTTCCCGTGAGCTGCCACGGCCTCCTAGATCACGAAAAAAAATTCACGGTGGGCTTCTGAACAACCGCTAGAAAGCAACACGACAAAAACCGAAAAAAGTGCGCTTTGTCTCGATTTTCCTTCATGACTCATATTACCCCGTTCTACGGTATGCTCTAACTGGAGCATGCCTGCAAGCACGCTCTAGCCAGCGCATGCCTGCCAAGCATGCACTAACTAGTGCATACATGCCATGTACACGCTTCCTGTTGCAGAAAACTCCCTATCCCTTATGCAGTAAATGTATGCTTCAGTTAGCGTGTACATGGCATGTATGCACTAGTTAGTGCATGCCTGGCAGGCATGCGCCAGCTAGAGCGTGCATGCAGTCATGCTCCAGATAGAGCGTACCATGTACACTCTAATTTGTAGAGTGCGTGCGTGTTTGAGTGTGTGCACTACCCGTCCTAAACAGCTAGGCCGATCCGGCAGAGATTTCGCAGGCTCATTATGCATGTCCTTGGCACGCCATACATCAAATTTAAGCCATCTGTCTCAAACCATGTGGTAATTCGAGCCAAAGAATTTTGACAGTCCCCACCGGTCTTCGCCACGGCTGCACGTCTTGTTCGAGGGCAATCCTTCTCATTGTGGAAACGAGGACTGCGTGCGCTGCAAGGAGACCAGCTGCTGCCCCTTGCTCAACTCAAGCACGCGCAAGTAGAGACGATCGTCAAGAAGCGCACCTCGATGTCAGCAATTGAATCAAACCGGCGCCTGCGTGTACCTGCTACATCCGATTGCAAATCTTAAGATGAAGGAAAAAAGTTACTGTCGAATGGGCTCTGTTTCGCTTGCGGTAGATACATACGACGGAATTTTTCTTCATAATACGAATCTTTTAAAGCAGGGAACAAAGACAACAGACAGATACGGTTCGACTATGCCTTTTCCGTTAAACCTGCTTGTTTGTATCCAAATAACTGAGTTTGAGAGGGTTCAGATCATCAATACACCTTCAAGAATTTCAAACATGAATCAAGTTTAATGCATCCAAAACAATGTTCCAATATAAAAGAATTCGAAGCAAAACACTGAGCTTCAAGATATTAAACACGCCCATTTAAAGAACAAAAACCCCTCGTTCCAAAAAATTTGTCAAAGGGGCCCCTGGGGACCTTCACCAAAACTTTAAAAAAAAATTCTGGAAAAGGGGCTTTTTCCTTCGGTAGAAAAATCGACTTTTTCCAAAAATCAACTTAAAAGGGGGAAAAAAAGGGAAAACAAAGAAGGTTCACAACCCTTTTCCGAAACCTGTTTGTTTTTTCCAAAAATTTGATTTGAAATTCAGTCACAATCAAAGTTTTAAAACATAATAAGTTTAAGGGGCATCCCAAAAAAAGCCCCAAAAAAAGGTTTCCAAAAAAACATGATTTAAATATTCATCACCCCCTTTTGAAACAATTTTCCTGAAAATGCAAAAAACTCCCTTCCCCTTTGGGTTTTTAAAGCTTTTTCGGTTACCCTGACATAAATTATAAACCTTATTTAGTGGCATTTTTAAAGGAAGCCAAAGCTTTGCAACATTTTTGTTAGGGAATTTGTAAAACCTTTTTAAATTTGAAACCCCGGAACGATTGAGCGTCCGCAATAGGACCAAATAGGCTTGGACTCAATTGTAAACAGTGAGAATTTGTCAACTAGCAAGAACATAGAGGGGCCGCAGGAATTCAGATCACAATGGCTATAGCGCAGTTCCAATCTTCTTTCAAACACTGCCAATCCAAGTGTGGACGAAGTCCACGCTTCCTTGCGTTGACCATTTTCGGTCCACGCTTCCTTGCGTGGACCAGCCTGGTCCACGCTTCTTTGCGTGGACCACAGTTTGGTCCACGCTTCTTTGCGTGGACCACAGTTTGGTCCACGCTTCTTTGCGTGGACCACGGTTTGGTCCACACTTCCTTGACTGACACGGACACAGACTGTGCGGAAAACTGCCACGGACCAGACTGTGAAGCGTGGACCAAACCGTGGTCCACGCGAGGAAGTGTGGACCAAACTGTGGTCCACGCAAGGAAACGTGGACCAAACTGGTCGACGCAAGGAAGCGTGGACCAGAAATAGTCGACGCAAGGAAGCGTGGACTTGGTCCACACTTGGATTGGCAGTCAACAGAAATAAAATGGCATAAACGATGTGCCGTGTACAATGCCATAAAAATCAAGGTCGTCGAAAATTATTCACTCACGATGCGTGTCCCCGCTGTGTGTCAGAAGGTGCTTTCGAAGATGTCCACTTTGCACAAACTTCTTCTTGCAAACTGTGCACTCGTAAGGCTTCTCCCCGGTGTGGATCCGAAGGTGCGTTCTGAGATCTCCACTTACAGCGAACTTCGTCTGACAAACTGTGCACTCGAAAGGCTTCTCTCCGGTGTGGGTGCGAAGGTGCCTTCTGAGATCTCCACTTACAGCGAACTTCTTCTGACAAACTGTGCACTCGAAAGGCTTCTCTCCGGTGTGGGTGCGAAGGTGCCTTCTGAGAGCTCCACTTACAGCGAACTTCGTCTGACAAACTGTGCACTCGTAAGGCTTCTCCCCGGTGTGGGTGCGAAGGTGGTTTCGGAGATGTCCACTTTGATTGAACTTCTGCCTGCAAACTGCGCACTCGAAAGGCTTCTCCCCGGTGTGGATGCGGAGGTGCCTTCTGAGATGTCCACTATGATTGAACTTCTGCTTGCAAACTGGGCACTCGAAAGGCTTCTCCCCGGTGTGGGTCCGAAGGTGCTTTCTGAGATCTCCACTTACAGCGAACTTCGTCTGACAAACTGTGCACTCGAAAGGCTTCTCTCCGGTGTGGGTCCGAAGGTGCGTTTCTAGTTTACTTCTAAAGGCGAACTGCTTCTCGCACACCGGACACTCCAGACGCTTCTCTCCATTGCAGGCACCGCGTGGAGCACGCACGGACGCTGACGATCCAGCCGTGCGGTGACGGGGCTCACGCTCGCGGGACATTCTGAAACACAGTTTAAACCTATAGTTGGTCCAGCGAATGTTGCTACACTGGCACTCGAAGACTTGTGGGATAATGCCATTGACTCTTTGTTGGGGGTGGTGATGGCCTGGGCCACGGTGCGTTAGTAGGGTCGAAGGGACAGCGTACGGGGCATGTATGCACTAGTAAGTGCATGCTAGGCAGGCATGCGCTACCTAAGGGTGCTTGCAGGCATGCTCCAGAGAGCATACAGTGTATGCTTTTGGATTTGTAGAGTACCGAACGGTATTGTGTACATGGCGGATACACAAACAACCATACAGAAACATGCCGATCCCTAAGCTCATAGGGCCGGTCCCTAACTTGATAGGGCCCGGCCCTATGGCAGAGGGCTGAGCCCCTTCCCAAGGGGCCAAGCCCTTTCTTGGATAGGGCTTGGCCCCTTCGGAAAGGGACCGTCCCTTTAAAATCATAGCGATTCTTTCCCTTGGGTAACTTGTGGAAGCATTTTAGTTTGTAATTTAAGCGCTTAAGTGGTAACATCACGGTGAAAATGGTTCCTGGTTTTCCCAGGAACTCCCTGGAAATCACCTGTCTCTACCATAGGCTTCCTGGGAAAACCAGGTACCGTTTTTACCGTGATGTCGATTAATATGTCCGTAACAAGGTTCATAAAAATGTATATATAAAGTCTCCAGAAAATGAAACAAAACGACGCGTCTTAATAGAATAATCCTAACTGCCTGAGTGGATCCAAATCAAATCTGTCAGTGCAGTGCCATCACTGCACTAAACTCAGTGTACGAGGCGACTGCTTCGAAACCGCGAAGAAAATGGACACGTTAGCCTCGTATTTCAAAGCAATACTTGGGCTTTCCGGAAGTCGGGTCGCGTCGCCAATTCAGAAAACGAGCAGACTTGCCGAGGAAGCCACCGCTCGCATCTCAGGCGTGCACAAGACTACGGGATGACGGGAAATTTAGGAGGGATTGCACGTGGAATTTTGTAAAATTGGTTCAAAAACATTAAAAAATGGCCCAATAACTTTGAAAAATGACTTAAAAACGTGAGAAAATGACAGAATTTTGTCAAGGATTACGTGATTACGACATAGATTACCAGCCACTTTGAACACAGGATTACGGGGTTTGGGGGCCCCTCGAGACTTGCGGTGAATTTACATACGTCGAGGGACGGAGGTTGGTGCGGCGAAATAGTACTTACATGCAGAAGACTCGGAGCACGTCGCCGTGTAGACACCCTTGTCGACAAACGTGCCTTTCCAGAAGATTCACCGATCCGACGCCTTGGTTTGGACTTCCCCCTCCCTTCTGTCAGGACGACTGCGACTGCAAAGGTGGTGCAAGTCTTGGAAGGAGAAACAAACAACGTTTGAATAGGGTATTACCCTGAGTCCTGGACCGGAAGTAAGATGAACAAAGGCAAGCCCTAAACTGGCTCACTAATAGTCCTCTTACTTCCGGTCCAGGGCACACGGAAATGCCCTTTTAAACACTCAAAATGTCTTACGATGAAATTTGACCTTAAAGTTTCGGCGCAAGCAAAATACAAAGCAATATAACTTCGTAAATACGAAGCAATATACCTTCGTAAATACGAATGTTTTGACCTTTCCCAATGTAAGATACAAAGAAAAACCTGCGTAATACGAAGGAAAGCCACCTTCGTATTATGCTTGCGCCATTTCCTTCGTAATAAAGGAAATTTCTTCGTGAGACATATTGAGTCTAGGATTGTGCTGCGTTCTCACCCGCACGATGCGGTACAACTTGGGCAAGCTGTCTGCGCCAGGCAGTTCAGTCAATATTGAAAGAGGTCCGTGGGCGCGAGGGTGAGAGGGAAGTACAGATGATGTAAATGTGAATACAGGCGCTCCAACCGCCCCTCACTGTTGCCAGTAAAGGATTACCCTCTGTCTTCAGGCACGAACAGTTTAACACTAGACGGCGTGCGTAACAAGCTCGCCCTCACTCCCTCATCTAAATGCATTAATGCATGCTTCACTTCAAGCTTGTCGTATCCAAAAGTAGCTTTAAATAGTTACACTAGTTTTACCTGTGTTGCCTGCGGAGGCGCGGTGTCCTTGGCTTTAGGATCCTCTTCCTTTCGTTTCGGATTTAATTTCCACCAGACCGTCACCTGAAAAGACAGAGAAGTTTCTCGAACCGGAAACAGTGCTCTAAAGCCGCCAATTGTCAATTTTACATGACGCGTTTCCGTCATTCTTTGGAAGTAAATAATGATTGCACTCAAAATGTCTTACGATGAAATTTGACCTATGTTACTCGTATGTTACAGTGAATTCGGCGCAAGTATAATACGAAGCAAATATCCTTCGTAATACGAATCTTTTTAGCTTTTTCATTGAGGATACAAAGAAAAACCTTCGTAATACGAAGAAAAACCACCTTCGAATTATGCTTCCGCCATTTACTTCATATAGGGGTAGGTTGGGGAAGAAAAGTACAAAACGCGTACTTTGCACTGTACAGAAGTTTCAAATGAGGATTCAACTATTCTGCTCTCGTGAACTTGTAATCCAATGCCTTCTTAATGAAATGGATCACTGTTCATTGATTATAGTTCCCTACATTACGTGCAACATGCCAAAATGTAAGTGATTTCGGAACTCCTCGAAAAGGGTAAGAAAAGTACATCACCGGGAAAGAAAAGTACAACGAAAAGAATTGCGATTTCGAACCAGAAGACCACCGATCTTGGCTCAATACAGGTTTACCCATAAAGTGGAGAGCTTTCACTTGCCATTAGTTCAAGTTTCGTCAAAATCGGTCAATTGGTTCTGATTCTACATGGACTCATCATAGAAGGTCCAAAAAGCCTTTTCTCAGAGGTAAGTGGGTACAGCATTTTTGTACTTTTCTTCCCCTTTTCACGTAAATGCCCAATAACTTGTTCATTTCGAGTCTTATTCTATAACTTGTGTTGACGTTTTTTGCTTGTCTTGCCTAATCAAATCTATTTTCGTGATCAATTCAATTTTCATCCCGCTTTTAGTTTCTCAGAGGGTGTTTTTTTCTTCCCCAATGCCTGTACTTTTCTTCCCCAGCTGACTGTACTTTTCTTCCCCATTTCATTTTTACACTTATAAAATAAAAAATGTGTTGAAGCCTAAGAGCATCGAACGGCACTGTTTTCCAAAGCTGATCGTCTAAGCTATAAGGTGGTACCTTATATTGGACTGTCGGCTGATTCTGCAGGAAGCTGTACTTCAAAGTACAAACATTTAAAAGATTTTCATAGTTATTTTTAATGTGTTTTTCAAACGTGCAGTTTGATTCTAAATATTATATGTCGAACTGGGCTTAATTTATTTTTTGTCAGCGGGATGACCAATCTTTCTAAAACCACTAACGTGATGGTTCAGTGTAGTTTCAGTTCGAAGATATAACGGGTGTACTTTTCTTACCCGAGCCTCGAGTGTACTTTTCTTACCCAACCTACCCCTAATGAGAAATTTCTTCGTAAGACGTTCAGAGTGAGGTTTCTTTACTTTGGTTGTGGTCTTCAACCTAGTTAACCACAGCTGTGGGAACTGCCTCCGTTGCCTGCAATTCACTATCATTTTCATTCAGCTTTGTACCCGAAGTGTTCGGATTGAATGAAACTTTCCTGCATTGCGTTCATTACCTGACTCGAAACAGCAAGGGGGACTCTGACTCTGCCCTGGCGTAACGTTGCGCATACGCTTGTCACCAGAGCAGTCAAACTGCCGTCTAGTGAGGAACAAGAATCTCAAAATCGCCCGTAACCTGACCTTTCAAAACTGTTCGATTGTTTCCATTGAATGCATGCGGGATCGTCAGACGTCAGAAAGCAATAGGGTACCACGGAGAAGAGCTGGAACGGGGGTTGAGAAGAAATCAAAAAGAACAAAGAGCGCGAAATTTGTAAGAATGAGCGTCTGCGTCGCCGATCTGCCGCTTCCGCAGAGTTGTGTTCTCTTGGAAGTCCGGCGTTTGTTAGTCTTGATTTCTTCTCTACTTCCACTTCCGGTCCAGCTCTTCTCCGAAGTACCTTCTTTAGCCTGTTAAGAAGATTTTTCAAGAGCAGGTTTAAACTTCGCCTTTATACTGGACTCGCTACCTATTCCCAAGCCTCATAACTTCCGTTTTTTTTTGTTCCCCTTAATATTCCGTCAGTGACGACTGGACGTGGATTCTAGTTTGGAAATCAACGACCGTTCTATTAGACGAAAACTTGGGGGGCATCCATAAAGTACGTCCGCACTCGAAGGGGGGGGGGGAGGTGGACAAAAGCGGACGTTGGCGGACGTGGGGGGGAGGGGGGGTCCGAGGTGGTCCGACGTCCTACTTTTATACGAAGAAAATTAAGAAAAATTAGACGATTTGCGCCGTCTTTACGCGCGGCGCCGATGTCAGCGGCGACGGAAACGGAACATAGTCATATTTATTTTTATTTTCTGAATAACGCAGAAGGCCTCTTTTTGTGGCTTAACACGCGTTTTTTATCAGTTTACCCCCAAAAAAGCGCTTTATTGTTGAAATTTGGAATACTTTGGCCAAAATGGACGCCCAAAAGGGGGGAGTGGGGTTGCCGAAAGCGGACGTTAGCGGACAGGGGGGGGGGGGGGGTAAAAATTACTGAAAAAAGTGCGGACGTACTTTATGGATGGCCCCTTGTCTCTTCTGCAGTTTGATGGCTGAGCGATAGCTAAGCCCGTTACTCCAGTGGGGTTAAAAAACTTTTTCTGTCTGTGCGTGCGTGTTTGTGTGCACTACTCGTCCTGAGCAGCTTGGCCGATCTGGCAGAGATTTCGCAGGCTCATTATGCATGTCCTTGGCACGTCAGACATCTTTCTCGAACCATGTGGTAATTCGAGCCAAAGAATTTTGACAGTCCCCACCGGTCTTCGCCGCGGCTGCACGTCTTGTTCGAGGGCAATCCTTATCATTGTGGAAACGAGGACTGCGTGCGCTGCAAGGAGACCAGCCACTGCCCCTTGCTCAACTCAAGCACGCGCGATTTTGTCTCCAAGTAGAAGCGATCGACAAGAAGCGCACCTAGATGTCAGAATCACACCGACGCCTGCTTCATCAGATTGCAAATCTTAAGATGAAGGAAAAAAATTACTGTCGAATGGGCTCTGTTTCGCTTGCGGCAGATACATGTTGGGGGAAGCAGATGCCTGGAGCATCTTCTCCACACTCGAAATATCTTACAGTGGAATTTGGGCTGTGTTATTAGTATGTTTCAGTGGATTCGGCGCCAGCATACGACGGAATTGTTCTTCATAATACGAATCTTTTAAAGCGTTTTTTATATAAAAAAAGAAGAACGTTCGTAAAACGAAGAAAAACAACCTTCCTAGTATGCTTGCGCCATTTCCTTCATATTCTGGAAAATTTCTTCGTAAGACGTTTACAGTGTAGTGTCCAGGGAATAAAGACACACGAGACAGATACGGTTCGACTATGCCCTGTCCGTTAACCCTGCTTGTATCTATCGAAATAACTGAGTTTGAGAGGGTTCAGATCATCAATACACCTTCAAGAATATCAAACATGAATCAAGTTTAATGCATCCAAAACAATGTTCCAATATAAAAGAATTCGAAGCAAAACACTAAGCTTTAAGATATTCATCACGCCCGTTTCAAAGTAACTTAATTTTTCCCCTCGTCTAAACAATGTCGAAGCAGAAGCTCGACCTTCACCAACGGTTTGCATTCTGGAGAAGCTTCTCTCAGGTAGCACAATCGACATCAATATCAACCTTCAATTTAGGAACCAAGGCATTTTTCCAAAAAGTCACAAGCAAAAGGCGTCCGCAAAGGGACCAAAAAGGCTTGGACTCAAACGTAAACAGTGAGAATTTGTCAACTAGCACGAACATAGAGGGGCCGCAGGAATAGAGATCACAATGGCTATAGCGCAGTTCCAATCTTCTTTCAAACAGAAATAAAAAAGCATGAACGATGTGCCGTATACAAGGTCGTCGAAAATTATTCACTCACGATGCGTGTCCCCGCTGTGTTTCAGAAGGTGCCTTCGAAGATGTCCCCTTTGCACAAACTTCTTCTTGCAAACTGAGCACTCGAAAGGCTTCTCCCCGGTGTGGGTCCGAAGGTGTGCTCTGAGACTTCCACTTTGATTGAACTTCTTGTTGCAAACTGTGCACTCGAAAGCCTTCTCCCCAGTGTGGATGCGAAGATGCATTCTGAGACTTCCACTTTGAGTGAACTTTTGCCTGCAAACAGTGCACTCGAAAGGCTTCTCCCCGGTGTGGGTCAGAAGGTGCCTCCTGAGATCTCCACTACGAGGGAAACTCTTCTTGCAAACTGCGCACTCGAAAGGCTTCTCGCCGGTGTGGATGCGAAGGTGCTCCCCGAGATCTCCACTACGAGGGAAACTCTTCTTGCAAATTGTGCACTCGAAAGGCTTCTCCCCGGTGTGGGTGCGAAGGTGCATTCTGAGACTTCCACTTTGAGTGAACTGCTGCTTGCAAACAGTGCACTCGAAAGGTTTCTCCCCGGTGTGGATGCGGAGGTGCCTTCTGAGATGTCCACTATGAATGAACTTCTTCTGGCAAACTGCGCACTCGAAAGGCTTCTCCCCGGTGTGGGTCCGAAGGTGCGTTTCTAGATTACCTCGAAAGGTGAACCGCTTCTCGCACACTGGACACTCCAGACGCTTCTCCCCATTGCAGACACCGCGTGGAGCACGCACGGACGCTGACGATCCAGCCGTGCGGTGACGGGGCTCACGCTCGCGGGACATTCTGAAACAAAGTAAAATCCTACAGCAAATAACCACTGACATTTGTGTCACCAGGTACTCTACAAATCCAATAGCGTATATTGTATGCTCTACCTGGAGCATGCCTGCAAGCACGCTCTAGCTAGCGCATGCGTGCCAAGCATGCACTAACAAGTGCATACATGCCATGTACACGCCAACTGACGCAGACCTCTAGAGCATAAGAGATAAGGAGTTGCCCGCACGAGGGGCCGTGCGAACGAGGTTCTCAAGAAAGTCGACAAAAAGTCTCCATGAAAGGAAACAAAACGACGCGTCTTAATAGAATAATCCTAACTGCCAGAGTAGATCCAAAACAACTGTCAAAGCAGTGCCATCACTGCACTCCACTCAGTGTACGAGGCGACTGCTTCGAAACCGCGAAGAAAATGGAGACGGTAGTCTCGTATGCCTGGGCTTTCCGAAAGTCGGGTCGCCACTGATTTCATAAGTGTAACAATGAACTTAATTAAAAAGCAATTCAGTTTTTATTACATTAGTAGCGCCATGGAAAAGTTATTGCATTGTAAGTGCATTAATTATTGTATAGCATTAGCGCAGTCATCATTTTATCACACCAAAAAATTTATAATCTGGGCCCGACCGGCCAAAACCGAAAGGGGCTAGTTGCACTTTTAATGCGACAATTTTTTTTTATTGCTACCACAGATGCGATAATTGGAAGGAATCACATTTCCCTTCTTATCGCAGCAAATTGTATGCAACTTATCACATAAGACATTATAGTGCCGTCGCCAATTCAGAAAACGAGCAGACTTGCCTAAGAGGCCACCGCTCTCATCTCAGGCGCACACAAGATTACGGCATTACGGTAAATTGACGAGGGATTGCGCGTAGTAATTTAGACCATTGGTTCAAAAACGTGTACGAATGGCTAAAAAACTTAAAAAAATGACTTAAAAACGATGAAAAATGATAGAATTTTGTCAAGGGTTACGTGACTAGGACGTAGATTACCAGCCAATATGTTCACAGGAGTACAGGGGTGGTGGCCCCCTGGAGACTTGCGATTAATTTTCTTACGTCGAGGGGCGGAGGTTGGTGCGGCGAAATAGTAGTAACCTGTAGAAGACTTGGAACACGTCGTTGTGTGGAGACGCTTGTCGACAAACGTGCCTTTCCAGAAGATACGCCGTTCCGACGCCTTGGTTAGGACTTCCTCCTCCCTCCTGTCAGGGCGACTGCGACTGCAAAGATGGTGCAGGTCTTGGATGAAAAAAAACTACGTTTGAATAGGGTTTATCCGTGAGTCCTGGAACCCGGGAAATAAGAACAAAGGCGAGCCCTAAAACGCACTAGTAAAACTAAAGCGTAGTATTACCCTCCGTTTTCAAGCGTAATCTGGTTACGCTTGAAATCAAGCGTAACAGGCTCATCTGCCAAGATTCCCCCTATCTAAATGCATGGGGGAATCACTAGTCGAGGCTTGATTTCAAGCGTAACGTCTCTAAGCGTAACTTTATGCTTGACTCAAGCACAGAAATACGATTTAGTTTTACCAGTGCGGAAGCAGGGCTCACTTTTATTCCTCTATTTCCCGGGCAAGGGCACCGGAAATGACCTTCTCGGGGGGGGCGCTGCGTTCTCCACCCGCACGATGCGGTACAACTTGCGCAAGCTGTGCGCCTAGAGAAATCGTGGCAGTTTAGTCAATAATGAAAGAGGTGAGTGGACGCGAGGGTGAAAACCCCGTAAACAAAACTACTATCAAAAGTAGTACTGTCGTACTACCATTTCGGAGCTCTGTACATCCCAAAATGTAGTACGGAAGGAGTACCTTATGAAACAAAAAAGGCATCCGAAAGAAGTACTGCCGTGCTACATTTCAGGACGTCTCTTTCGGGAGCACTTCGGGACGTCGGAAACGGTAGGTCTGTGAGAGGTCTTTCGGAGGTCCCCCACCACCCGTCGCAGCGCCCTGCGGCCATGTAGTTCCGAAGGTGACCGCTAGAGCGCGCACCTGTGTCGTAGTTCGATGGCCTGCCGCTAGGGTGCGCCACTGTTCCGGATATGAATGTGAATGCGTATAGGAATGTGAATATGACACAGATAAACTGTTAGGAAAAATGTATTTATTCACTGACCTTTTTAAATTAAAAATCAAACGATAAGACTTGTCACGAACAACAGAAAATATGGAGACAAAAATGGTGGACAGGACTCAAAAACAAAATATTTAAAAGAGGAATCTCAGTTGGACTGAAAAGAAAATACAGCAACCATAACTGTAACACCCCTTGATTAAAAATAAGCCAAAATGACTGAAAGAAATTCAATTAGCACTGATTCCAAGGTGTCATGCTTACTGTCGCAGGAAATTCACTTAATTTGACACTGAAGCACAAGAGTCACTTCTTGTTCCACATGTAATTGCATAGTGGTTATCGTTCCAGAATCTTGGGCAACTCCAGTGGGTCAAGGTTTCCGCAAAGAGCCTATTTCTCAAGCATAAAATCAGAAGACGAACAAAATAAACACTTTGACAATAAGAGTATCAAAGTAACAGAATATTGTAGGTTAACTTACACCGGCACTTTCTGATTTGGATTGAAACACGAAATAAGCCTGCACCAGGCTTTGAAGTATTCTTCTTATTGGTGCACCTGAGAACTGAACATCTTCGTGCGTGGTTTCTTTCCTTTGGAGAAATGAATTTACTATAGTTAACAGAAAAATAAATAGAAGGATCCGACGCCACAAGCACAGTGCGCGCCAAAGTGCGCCGACTGTCATCTGCACAACAGGTGAGCATCGCGTGGGCCCGAGGCGCGCTCTAGCGGACACACTCGGAACTACATGGCCGCAGGACGCTGCGACGGGTGTGGTGGGGGACCTCCCAAAGACCTCACATAGACCTACCGTTTCGGACGTCCCGAAGTGCTCCAAGAACCGACTACTTTGGGACGAGCTACCAGGGCGCGCTCTGGCGGCAAACTCTGGCACCATACACTAGGTCCCCGCGCGACGTAGGAGAGAGCTTCATTTGTAGTACGTTTAGGGAGGTCCCGAAGAGCTCCCAAAACCGACTTCTTCGGGACGTCCGAAAGACGTCGGATTCCAGACATGTACTAGTTTTGTTTACGGGGTAAGGAAGTACAGATGGAACAAATGTGAGTACGGGCGCTCCCAACGCCCCTCACTGTTACCACTAAAGAATTAATCTCTCTTCAGGCACGAACGGTTTACTTTAGAAGGCAAGCGTAACAGGCTCGCTCAAAGTTCCATTGAATCCATGCTACACTTCAAGCTTATCGTGGTCCAGCGTAACTTTGAATAGTTACACTAGTTTCACCTGTGTTCCCTGCGGAGGCGCGTTATCCTTGGCTTTAGGATCCTCTTCCTTTCGTTTCGAATTAGACTTCAACCAGAGCGTCACCTGAAAAGACAAAGAGGTTTCTCTCAGAAACAGTGCTCTGAAGCCGCCAGTTGGCAATTTTTGAAGACGCGTTTCCGTCATTCTTGGGATGTAAATAGAGTTAGTATTCTTTATTGATAGTGGTCTATAACCACAGTACAGTTGTGGGAACTGGCTCCGTTGCCTGCAATTCATTATCATTTTCATTCAGCTTTTTACCATAAGTGTTCGGATCAAATGACACTTTCCTGCATTGCATTCATTACCTGAGTCGGAAGAGCAAGGGGGACTATGCCCTGGCGTAGCGTTGCGCATACGCTTGTCACCAGAGCAGTCAAGCTCTCGGCGAGTGAGGAACAAGAATCACAAAATCTCCCGTAACGAAACCTCTTCAAACTGTTCGATTGTATCGTATCCATTGAATGCATGTCGAATCGCCTTATAAACCCGTTTAAAAAAGATCGTGCCGAGAATGTGTCGAAATGATGTCGAAATGATGCTGAAGTGTCCGGCATGCCCTGAATGATGCCGAAATGCGCTCGGCAAGCCCGAAATCCACCCGCCGCCGGCACGCGGCAAGCCCGAAATGAGCCCCGCTGTCGCGGGCGGCCCGGAATCGTACCGCGACCCCGACCGCTGCCCGGCCGGGTGGATTTCGGGCGTGCCCGTGCCTTTCGGCATGATTCCGGGCATGCATGAGTGACGGGGCGCATTGAGACCCTAATCAAAGAAGTGTCAAGTTAATGTCTTTGACCTGCGTACAAAATTGAAAAGTTAAAATAATGAAATTCTTTCTTAAGTACCAAGTCTATCAAAACCGGCGTGAAAAATTAGAAAATTCCGTGCAAACGAGATGTTTGTAGGACAATTTTAAATTCTTTGACTGAACAAATCTACAATCAAATTGAACACTTTGATACGGGTACTTGAATGAATGCAGTTGAATCCGTTGAGCTTCTGATGCTTAACAGCCTTAGCATAAATAGCAGTTACTATAGTAACTTTAGCTTGCATCCTAAAGAAAAGGTCTATAGGGCTCTCAATAAAATGAGCCGCGGGACAAGGGTACTTCGAGTACGTGGATTATAAGGAAGCGAAGAACCGGGTTTGCGTGTACAGCCAGCACCCCAATAACCGGGTTTGGGAGCCTCAGACCTGGGTTTCCAGTGGGCCTGGTGGATCCGCGGGTTGACTAGTCCACACGCAGTGCTCCAGTACCTACGCTCACGTTCACCAAGTCTGTTGTTAGATCCAAGTGCCCAGCTCAACCCGCGCACCTTGTCCAAAAGTCGAGGGGCTCTCCGCGAGTAACCCAAGAGTCTCGCGGAGGTTACTTATTCGTCAAGACACAGGGCTCGCCGCGTGCTCCTCCGCCAGCGTGTCTCCTCCGCCCCCTCCAGTGCCGCTCGGGGTCGAGCGAGCTCGCTGGAAGGCATCGGGAGCCTGAGGCCTCCTCCCCAGGTCTCCTCCATGGTGCAGTTGGCAGCGTCTCGGTCCACAAAGACGGTCGTCCTGGGTTCCAATACTAACCAGTGTTTCTCCTTCAGCGTTCTGTGTACGTGTGTGTGTTTGTGAGTGTGTAAATGTGAGCCTGTGTGTGTACGAGTGTGCCTGTGTGCGAGACTGAATGGGCACCGCCATCCAGGTACGTCTCCCTCCCCTGCAGCTTAATGGGAGGGACGGTTCGGCACGTTTTCGCACTGCAAAAAATTATGTTGTAATTTAGCAGTAAATATGTTGCTAATTTTCTTAGCGATCAAAGTTGTTTTCAAATGACTTTCGTTGTTTACTAACGAGTTGCGTCGTTCGTCCACAAGATGTTTGTAAACCGGTAGACAGCCTTATTTGCATCAATTTTTATTGCCGATTAGGTCACAGACCTAGTAGAGTCCCGGTTACCCCGCAGTAACCACTTCTTAGATTGTCCGGGTTGTTTGTACGCAGCAAAATATTGATTTGAAACAGCATAAGTCATGAAAATAATTAGCAACGAATTCGTTGTTTTAAAACAAGCAAACTTGTTCACAAACAACAGCGTTGTCGAGGTTGGTAATTGTGTTGTTGTTTTAAAACAACAATTTTTAACAGTGCGGCATGCCCGGCAAGCGTCCGGCATTGCCGAAAATCGGTTTGTTTTCCAACAAACTGATCGTTTTTCGGCAAGCCCGCACTCCTGGTTCGGGGCGGATTTCGGGCGTGCCGGCCGGGCATGCCCGAAATCCTGCCGTCATCCGGCACGATTTCGGGCAAGATCATTTTTAAACGGGAAGGCCTGTTACTCAGATTTTTCAAGAGAAGTTGAATACTTCGCCCTCAAACTGGACTCGCTACCTTTTCCCTAGCCTCAATACTTCCGTTTTTGTAGATCCCCTTGTTATTCCGTCAGTGACAGACGGGACTGCTTTATTGAAAATTTTCGTGGATCTTACATCGGAAATCAACGAACGCGATTTTAGACGGCAGCTGGTCTCTTCTGAATTTTGTTAGCTCCAGTGGGGTCAAAAAACTTTTTTGGCCGTGCATGCGTGTGCACTACTTGTCCTGAACAGCTCTGGTTGAGATTTCGCAGGCATGTCCTTGGCTCGCCATACATGAAAACTCAGCTCACACTCAACATCTTATGATCGTTTTTATACGTATTACGATTATTTTTCATCGTCAGGTACGCGCACATACGTAATATGCTTAATTTTTCATCGTGTTACGCATGAATTTCATCGTATTACGATTGAATTTTATTGTTGTAGTACGTATGTTCTCATTTCAACGTACGTTACAATGGCCCTTTCATCGTAAGAATCTGAGGGTGCTATCTGTCTCGGACCATGATGTAATTCCAGCCGAAGAATGTTGACAGTCTCCACCGGTCTTCGCCGCGGCTGCACGTCTTTATCTGCTGCAATCATTATCATTATGGCATTGTGAAAACGGGAACTGCGTGCGTTGCAAGGAGACCAGCTACTGCCTCTCGCTCAACTCAAGCACGCGCGTTTTTGGTCACCGAGTAGAAGCGGTCGTCAAGAAGTGCACCTTGATGTCGGCAATAGAGTCTCCTAACCGGCGCCGTGTACCTGATTCATCCAAGTGCAAATCTCAAGACGAAAAAAAAAATTACTGTCAAATGGGCTCTGTTTCGCTTGCTGTCGGTGATGCATGTTGGCGGAAGTAGATGCCTGGAGTAACTTCTCTCCAAATGACTAACAATGAAATGTGAGCCATGTTATCAGTTTCAGTTAATTCGGCGCCGGCATCATACGTCGGAATTTTTCTTCGTAATATGTATCTTTTTAAGCATTTACAATGTGAAAACAGAAGTACATTCGTAAAACGAAGAATAACAATCTTCGTATTATGCTTGCGCCATTTCCTTCGTATTCTGGGAAATTTCTTCGGAAGACATTTGGGGTGTAGCGTTCTGGGAATACAGACATAACAGACAGATACGGTGCGACCATGCCTTGTCCGTTAACCCTGCTTAATTGTTTGGAAATAACTGAGTTTGAGAGAGTCCAGATCATCCATAAACCTTCAGGAAATTCAGAAGATGAATGAAGTTTAATTTAGCCAAATCAATGTTCCAATGCAAAAGAATTCAAGACATTCATCAAGCCCTTTTCAAATTAACTTTATTTTTCCCTTCGCCTCAACAATGTTGAAACAAAAGCTCGACCTTCACCAACGGTTTGCATTTTCGAGACGCTTCTCTGGGGTAGCACAATCGACATCAATATCAACCTAAAATCTAAGAGTTAAGGCATTTTTCCAAAAAGTCACACGCAAATTTTGACTAACATGTTTGTAGGGAATTGTCAATACCTTTAATCAGTGAAATTCCACGGAACGATTAGGCGTCCGCAATGGGACCAAAAAGGCTTGGACTCAAATGTAAACAGTGAGAATTAGACAACTTGCCCTAGTTACACCCGTACAAAGAACATAGAGGGGCCGCAGGAATTCAGATCACAATGGCTATAGCGCGGTTCCAATCTTCTTTCAAAACAGAAATAAAATGGTATAAATGATATGGCGTGTACAATGCCGTAAAAAACAAGGTCGTCGAAAGCTATTCACTCACGATGCGTCTCGCCACTGTGTGTCAGAAGGTGCCTTCGAAGGTGTCCACTTTGCACAAACTTCTTCTTGCAAACTGTGCACTCGAAAGGCTTCTCCCCGGTGTGGGTGCGAAGGTGTGCTCTGAGATTTCCACTTTCATTGAACTTCTTCTGGCAAACTGTGCACTCGAAGGGCTTCTCCCCAGTGTGGGTCCGAAGGTGCCTTCTGAGATGTCCACTTCTATTGAACTTCTGCCTGCAAACTGCGCACTCGAAAGGCTTCTCCCCGGTGTGGGCCCGAAGGTGTACTCTGAGATGTCCACTTAGAGTGAACTTCTTGTTGCAAACTATGCACTCGAAAGGCTTCTCCCCAGTATGGGAGCGAAGGTGCCTTCTCAGACTTCCACTTTCAGTGAACTTACTTTTGCAAACTGTGCACTCGAAAGGCTTCTCCCCGGTGTGGGTCCGAAGATGCGTTCTGAGACTTCCACTTTCAGTGAACTTCTTCTTGCAAACTGTGCACACGAAAGGCTTCTCCCCAGTGTGGATGCGAACGTGCTTTCTGAGATCTCCACTTTCATTAAACTTCTTCTGGCAAACTGCGCACTCGAAAGGCTTCTCCCCGGTGTGGGTCCGAAGGTGCGTTTCTAGTTGACTTCTGAAGGCGGACTGCTTGTCGCACACTGGACACTCCAGACGCTTCTCACCATTGCAGACACCGCGTGGCGCACGCACGGACGCTGACGATCCAGCTGTGCGGTGACGGGGCTGATGCTTGCGGGGCATCCTGAAACACAGTGTAATACCACACATCAAATAACCTGGACATCTATGTCACCACATACTGAACGGTATTGTGTCCGTGGCGGAAACGCTAACACAAACCATAGACAAATATGTTCACAGACTTTTGGAAACATTTCGTATACAAGCTAAGCCCTTAATTGTTCACAGATGTCGACTTGTACGTTACAAGGTTCACAAGAGAGTCCATTAAAAACGCTGAGATTCCAAACGCTATGAATACAGCACGTGTGCACTGTGGCAAAAAGGTACGGAAAATTCTGTTAATTTTTTTGCCAGGATTCTCCGGGATTAGCCAGGATTAGCCCTCTTATCAATATTCCCCGCAGGCTCTTACAGTATTCTCCGTAGGGCCTAACAGTATTCTCTGTAAGTCCGCACAGTCTTCTCCGTAGGACCTGGAAGACTGTATAGTCCTACGGAGATCACTGTAAGGTCCTACGGAGAATACTGTGTGAGCCTACAGAAAATACTGAAAGAGCCTACGGAGAATATTGATAAGGGGGCTATGGAGAATTACCACAAGCTGTTTACAGAATTTTCCGTAGCTTTTTGCCACAGCGTGGTGCAATGCACTAAACCTTGCACCATACGTGCAACGCCGCAGCCATATTTCACCTTACGTGCAATGCATCCCGAAAATGTCCCATGCTAATGCATGGGAATGGGAAGGCATTGCCTTTCATGAACAATGCTTTTGCATTGCACCAATTGACGTTATATTCCTGCCGTTTGGATTCTTAGTGAAATGAAGCAAATATGTCCAGGGGCCGCATACTTACTTTGAGCCCTTGGTCTGGAAGCAAAGTGATATCTCGCACTGATGGACAAAGTTGTGAACAGTTATACAGCCATAAGAGCCTTGGACAATCATTATAACGTTGGTTGCAATATTGACCCTAAAATTCGGTGTGTCCACAGGAATATTTTTGAATCCAATTATAAACAAAATAGAGGATAAATATTCAAAATAATTGATTGAGGAAGAGGAAGAAGGGAAAAATTCGACTCACGTCCAATTACTATAGAGTTTTCTAATCGTCGCCGATCGAAGAACAAAAACGGTTTTGTTCTTCTTCTTGATCTTCGATCGGCGACGACTAAAATGCTATATGGACTTTTCATCTTATTATTGTGCCTTGGGATGGTTCGCATCAGGACACCAAATTATTTGACTCAATTCCAAACAGTTTAGGACAGGAATAATGCATATCTCTTAACTAGACCCCTGCTTCGAAACTACGAAGGAAATGAAGACATTGGCACGGTGCCAACAAGGCACGAGCAATATGCGAAATACCGTGGAACGATTGTATGGCAAATCGGGTCAGTCGAGTGCTCACTCTCAGACTCGTCCTGAGTTTTTGTTTATCAACGTATAGACGTTTGCGCGCACCAAGGGGGTAGCACACTTCGCAAGGTTTTAACCTGGGGGTACGCGCCGTTTTGTTTGGGCGCGTAGTAGGCGAGCGATGCGTCTGTATTCTTGTAGAAGATGGTGAAGAATATATGCAAAGTAAGGCCAATACAGGGTCTTCCGTAATGAGGCATACAGGACATGAGCCCCGTCCCGTTTGAGCCCCGATGGTCTGAGCCCCGACCTGAGCCCCAACCTGAGCCCGGGTTGAGCCCCGACTTGAGCCCGAGTTGAGCCCCGACTCGAGCCCCGATATGCAGAGCCCCAGCCAGAGCCCGGACAGAGCCCCATCCCGAGCCCCGGGGTTTAGC